CAACTCCCCTGGGCGTGTCTCACTGGCATTACAACTTGTTAACTTCCTTCGTAAGCCCAATGATCATGAATTTTGTCGAAGCGTTTCTGTGTCGTCATTACATAGGAGAGTCTATGGCCATACCACCCTGAACGGGCCCGGATCTGGGCCTTGCAATGGATATTAGAACCCAAAGAAGTGAAACAGAGAGCATTAATGAGGACCTGTCGCTGTGTTGTTTGACTTTTTCTCTAACATTGACTCCAGGCAGTGCCTGGGGACGCTTCGGGTGCTTGTAGGGAGTGCGTTGAGTGTAAGCCATGTACCAAACCCAAGAAGTCTGGCAGTTTGGAGAGGAGAGCAGAGATACTCCGTGCTTGCAGAATTGCGATATGAAGCACAAACCATTTGAGATTTCAGTTATGAAAAAAAGGTTTTGTGAGGGAGGGCACTGCCCCTGGAGTTCAGACATTGTATGCAGAGTGGAAGGATTGTAATTTTGACACGAGACCGTTTGATGCTGTGCAGGGCCTCAATCTTTGGGCTACTGGTGGAGAAGAAATGAGCCCCAGGGAGGGTCATCCCGGATCCCATGGCACCAGAGTGAAGGCTTGTGCTATTTGCCACTTTGAATATTTACCATTTTGTTTCTTGTGTATTGTTGTCAACAGTTTGCAGTGTATCACATATGCACAGGAGAAGGGATTGAATTTTGTAGGCAGTTAATAGCGCTCATTATAATACCTGGGAAATTGAAAAAGTCTTAATTTCTGATTCTGTCTGTCTATTCAGTGCCAACTGCCACGTGTACCTACAGTAACCATTCATACATTGGGATAAGTGAATGAGTCAAAGCAATTGTTGAAACGTTTTCGATACTTCCCTTTCTTTCCTTAACCTACTAGAAACGGGCTTTTGCCCCTATCGTGTACTGAAAAGGTTTCTGCTATGGTCACCCGTCCAGGAGACCTGGGAGCGTTGCAGAGACTAGGTGGGCTGCTAACCATAAGGTCAGCAGTTTGAAACTACAGCCGCTCCCATGGGAGAAAGATGAGGCTTTCTGTTCCCTTGGGGTTATGGTCTGGGAGACTTACAGGAACAGGTCTACCCCGCCTATGGGGGGGGGGGGGCTGTGAGTCAGAATCGAGGTGATGACAGTGAATGAGTGATGGTCATCAGTGACTCTTGTGGCCACCTTTGCTGCTTCTGGCCCTGGTGAGCGCTCCTTTCTTGAAACTCTCCTTTGTCTTCCCTGGCCTTTTTGCTTGGTTCCTTTTTGCTGATTGCTTATGTGTTGATGATTCGGAAGGTTTGAGATATATATATATGGTATATATATTTATGTATATATATATACCATAAACGAGGGGGCTCCAAAAGCTCCTGGAAAAATAGATTAAGAAGATAATGGATATTTTTCCCCATGAACTTTGTAAATTCCTCTCGTGCATTTGTGTGCATGGATACATTCTCAGGCACTTTTCCGTGGGTCAGTCAAAAAGCCTGGCTACGAATGTACCAGTTCATACATATGTGGGTTTTCCCCAAGCGACGTGTCTCAGGTCAGTGGATGGCTGCAGACAAGTTCTCTCGGTCCCATTAGGATGTTTTCAGAAAGGGTCCAATTAAATTGGATTCACAATGACCCAGGCAGAGGAAGTTGGGGTGCAATGGGTAGCTAACAATGATTATAAGAAAGAAGAAAATGTTCTAAAATTGATTATGGTGATGACTGCACAACTGTTCTCAATATGATTGAACTATTAAATTGTCTATGAAATATAGCCCAATCACTTTCACTCACTGCCATCGAGGTGTGATGCCCAAGCACAGTGATGGGATCCTGTAGGGACAAGGTAGAATTGCCCCCTTGAGTTTCCAAGACTGTAACTGTTTACAGGCACGGAGAGCCCTGTTTTTCTTCTGGGGAGCAGCTGGTGGTTTTGTGGACTGCCAAGCTTGTGGACTGCAGTCCAGTGCATAACCCTACCCGCCTTGGACTCCCTGTATGGCAATACAATGATTCTTTAAAAGTCCAAGCCAAACAGTGGTTGGACACATGGAGGTCAGTTGGACCATTTAATTCATGACAAAGGTCAACGTGGAAGATTATGGCAACTGTTTTTAGTATTCAAAAAGGGCAGTCACGATGTATTTTCCCAAAGAACATGGGAGGATCACTGGAGCTTAATTGGGAAGAAGTTTTAAGATAATGACCAATCTTATTGGGAAGCTTTATCCTGTCCACCCTACAGCTCTGATCTTGCCCCTTTAGATTTCTCTTGGTTCCCCTAAGCCAAAGAACATGTCAAAGGGCACATTTTGAATCCCAAGGATGCTCAAAACCATCATTTTGATGTGGTGTAAATCCCAGAGCGCAGAATTCTTCAGGAATGGTTAGAGATAAGGAAAACGCTATTAGAAGTGTAGAGATCTAGAGAGGATATGTTGAGACACAGTAATTTCACATTATGATGCTTTTGTTTAGTAAAGATTTACTGCACCCAGGTTGAATTGTCCCTTCCTTGTAACTCTTCTGTAGGGGGTTGTCCAATTGTCTTCAGATGGGCTTTGGGTCTCCTCTCCAACCCCCCAACGAAAAGGCTCGGGGGCGGAGTGTACTGGGGATAGTGGAGGGAGTGTCCAGAAGGTCCCTTACTGCTACTTCCCCATCACTGAAATGTGGGGAGCCAGGGCAACTCCCCAGATGCTCAGTAAGGGAGAGCTAAGGGAGTGAGAGTCATCTGCTCAGCCTGCCTGAGTGTTCTGATCCTGTGACTGACCCCAATTTGAGGTTCAAGGTGTTTTGGGTACAACTGGGTTCCCTGGTGTGGCATAGCGGTTACGTATTGGGCTGTGATCTACAAGGTCAGCAGTTCAAAACCAACTCCTGCTCCATGGCAGAAAGGGCTTTCTCCTCCTCTAAACAGTCGCAAACTCACAGGGGCAGTTCTGCCCTGATAGGGCCACTAGGGTAGAGTGTGAGTTAGATCCCTAAGATTTGGAGGTAGGGGTGCTAAATAAGCTGTCCTGGTCAGCAGTTCAAACTCACCTGTCTGCTCCCATAACAGTGGGACACCCTACAGCCTCAGATACCCTTGGGAGCAGGTCTACTCTGTCCTGTTGGGTGAGCCAGAGGTGACTCATAGCAGCAGGGAGGTTTGTCTCATGAAAGAGGCAGGATTAGATCTAATTGTTTAATGACCAGGCCACAATCCGAGTGTTGTTTGCAATTAAGGATTCATTCTAAGGGAACTCAGATATAAGCTTCAATATGCCCTGAAATGAAAATCAATGGTAAACTACAGCAACTGAATCCAGACAGGACTACTAATGACCCCGACTCCTCAGGAATGAAGGTCTGGTCATCCCACCAGGCAAAGTACCATGACAGCTGAGATGCTGGCCGAGGGCAAAGGGAGTACAGAATGGGTAGTGGAGAAGGTAGTTATCAGTTACGACCACGTGATCAATTGCAAACATCAGGTCTGTAATTGTCAGTATTTCTTCTTTATATGTATTTATCACACATCCTTCTCTTGTTCATGTCAACTGTACCAGATACAAAGAGGGTCAGTGTGTTTTTATTTATATGTATGCTAGCTGTATGATGCAAGTAAGATTTCACTAATGCCTGGAGATTATGTATGGATAAAATAATTGTGTGCAAGTGCCAACTTGATAAGGGGTGGATTGTTATAAGTTTTTTTTTTAATGCCAACGTGGCACCTGTAAGAAAATATGGGTGGAGTTTAGCCTGTTAATCAGGTTGTCACCTGATGACCTCCTTTGGATGTGCGACCAAGATATATAGCTCTCTGGAGGCCAGCTTCTCTCTCTCCTTGGTGGTCGGATCAGCGCGCTGTTTAATCCAGCTGCCCGGCCTCATCACGTGTGCTCTGCGCCACCTTGCCAAGCCAACCCAGGGCTGCACTGCTGTGCCGGGCTCTTCCCTGCTGTAGTGCCACTCCCCCTACTGTGTCTGCTGCCTGTGGGCTGACTCCACTTGTCTCGCCACCTCTGTAGACACCAGACCTCCAGGCAGCCACCTCGCATTGCTACACTGCAAGTCTCCACCATGACCTGCTTCACCACCACACTGTGCTCCAGTGGTGGTGGCTTCTGCCACCCCTCGCCACCTCTCCTTCCTGCTGTCTGCTTCCTTGGCCTTGAGCTAGCGGCCACGTGTGTTGGAAAGACCTTCAGCCTATTAACTGATCCAGGAAAGTGAGTCAGACTGAGCTCTCTGTACTCCTGTGAGGGCTAATTTGCTGCTATGTTCTTTCTCACTGTATAAACTGATATATATTTATATATAAAATCATGAGTGTCCTGGTTTTACAACGAGCATGAGCGGTTGAATTTTAACCCAGACTCCCTGCCATCTAGAGGATGGATCTCAACGCAGAGTGCCTGCTAGGACAGAACCGAGCTGCCCTGTAGGCTTCCGAGGCTAAAATCTCTACAGGAGCAGAGAGCCTAAACACTGTCCCATGGGGCAGCGAGTGGGTTTGAACTGCTGACCATGCAGTTAGTAGCCCAACACCAAACACACTGCCCCACCAGGGCACCTTCAGATAAGCTTTAGGAATGACCTTGTTAAAAGTTCTGATCACCATTATGGCTACTTCTACCTCCTCCTCTGCTCTCCAAGCAGGGCACAGGACAGACTAGTTCTGCAGCACTGCTGTTGAGTACCGGTGTCATTATAAACCAAGGACACCTGGAGGTCAACCAGGCTTCCAGACGCTGTGGCCTAGGACTGTTTGTTCTGTTGTTTCCGTTAGTTGCTTAGAGCCACCTTCCATGAAAGCCATTCTCACCCTTGTTGCTATTGCTGAGCTCATGACTGCAGCCCTGTGCCAGTTACCCTCCCAGAGGATCGCCCTCTTCTCTGCTGACCCTCCACTTCACCACGCATGACGTCTTCCAGCAGCTGGCCCTGCTTAATGAAGTGCTCAAAGTAAGCCCAGGTGAGGGCCACGCGCAGAGCAGAAGTCAATTCCAAAGCCAACAACACGTTTTCCTTGAAAATAGATTTAATTATTTTATTCAAATCTAGAAAGGTTCCGTGTCTCCCTCCCAGACCGCGAGCCGACACAGGGGCTTCTCTGGAAAAATGAAAAATCTCCTGAAGAAACGTTTCTGAAGGTTTCTTTTACAGAACACTTCGCATTTGTGATGCTGATTTATCAAAAGGTATAGGATCAAAAATCGGCAATGCTGGTGGTCCGGCCCACGTGGTGTTCCGATCACTCACGTGATGGGGCGGCGGGGGAGGGTGCAAAAATCACAATCACTGCTCTGATCTGAAGGGTGAAGAGGCTCTTGTGTAGCCAGGTCAGTTAACACTGGGGCGATGTGCAGAGAAAAATGACCTGCGAGGGTCAGGTGTCACTGAGCAGAGGGCGGGCAGAACAGCAGCGTCTGAGAAGGTGTGTGTCCTTCAACAGGACAGTCAAGGCCTGGGGTGAGAAGTCAACATCCGGTGAGCAGTTAACCTCACCCACCAGCTCCATTCTCGCTTCCTGGCCGCGCCGTCCTTTCTACCACCCTAACCCGGGAGAGTCTAGAAGAGAGAAAGAGATGAGCCACAAGAGAGGACACAGACACTTCTGATTGGGTGCCTGGATGAACGGCAGCAAACCCCAGTGCCCACTGCTCCGCCCTTGGAGGTGGGGTGGCGCCTTCTCCTCCAGGGGCTCCGCGGGCTGGGGCGCTGCTTCCTCCTGGTGCTTGGAGTACGGGTCTCCTAGGAACCGAGGGTCTCCTTGGCCATCTTGCGGATCATGTAGTTGAGGATGCCCCCGTTGTGGAAGTAAGTGAGCTCCACGTCGGTGTCAAACCTCATGACAGCCTGGAAGGTCTTCCCGCCGTCCAGCTGTGGCAACAAAGCAGGGGAGAAGAATCACTGAGGGAGGGAGGGAGGGAGGGAGGGAGGGAGCGAGAGCACTGCCAAGAGGAGACTGCCCAGCGCCCAGTCTTGCCACTCCGAGAGTGGCCCACATGCATGCTGCCAGCACCTGGGCACAGGCTGGTTCCTGACGCGGCCTGGCCTGCTTGCTCCAAACCAGGTGCCCAGGAGACTGAAGTCATGTCAAGAGTTGAGAGGCGGAGTGCAAGCGGTGGAGCCAAGAGCCCCTGAGAACTGGGCGCAGCTTCTCAGGGCAGCAGCTCCTCTGGACATTGGGCATGTGATTTTCAAAACCAGTGCTGGAGGATTTTCTATGGGCAGAAATGTCTTGGGTCAGGAAAGCCAGACCTCGTGACCACTGACGTCTATTCCAACGCAAAACAACCGCACAGGACAGAACAGAACTGCCCCCGTGGGTTTCTAAGCCTGTAAACCGTCAGGGGAGCAGAAACCCTGAGTTTTCTTGCGCCCGCTGCTGACACTGGTTAGCCGCCCAGTGTGCTGTCACTGCGCCACAGGAGAGGTCAGTCCCTGGAGAAGGACAGTCCTGGGCAGAGGAGGGGGCAGTGACAAAGTGGAAGGGCCCCGACCAGGTGGGTTGACAGTGGCTGCAGCAATGGGCTCAGGCGTAATGACTGGGAGGTTGGCCCGCAGCAGGCGGCATCTCAGTCTCTTGCACAAAGGGTGGCCCCGAGTTGGAATCCCCTCGAGGGGTCCTAATAACAATGTGACAATCTGCAACTTGTCTGCACGTTCCCCAGGTGCCCAGCCTAGGACACAGACCTCGGCACGTGTCCCTGCCGTGGTGGCTCAGTCACCTGTGGGACATCGGTGCTGGTCACTTCATCCCGACTTTGCCTAGCTATCTGCACTGGGCTAATCAAAGCCATGGGGCCTAGGCTCAGGGCAGGGGTAGGTGCCTGCTACCCACCTTCTCAAGGTAAAACAGTGGTGTTAGGGAAGGTGAAAATGTGTCTTTGGTCCATATTCTCTGACCCGAGGGAGACTGAGAGGAGTAGGGAGGAGACAGTGGGGGCCGGCTGCGGTTTTTGAGGTGAGAATGAAACTGTTGTTAACTTTATGAATTAACAGGGAAGCCATTTCTCAGAGTTATCCTCACCACCAGCACCATGGTGTGAAGGTCAGAAGAAAACGTGCTGTCACAACTGAGTCTAATGCGGCCCCATTGAGTGATTTTTCTTTTCCTTTCAACCTATTTCCTTCTGACAAAATAGGTTCCAACGGGCTCCCATGAGCTGGGTCTGGCCAGTCTGGCCCAGGCGAGTCCTGCTTACCTTGACCTGGACTTTCATTCGTGGTTTCAGGCTTTCTGGAATGATGATAGTGTATCGCTCCCGCCCCGTGAGACCCAGGGCCTCTGCGTTCTCCCCTGGCAGGTACTCCAGGGGGATCACCCCCATGCCGACCAGGTTACTGCGGTGAATGCGCTCGTAGCTCTCCGCCAGGACCGCTTTGATTCCCTGATGGACCGAAAGAGCAGTTGGATACACTCTTCTTTACACTCACACCTAACGTTCTGTGTACATCCTAATTCACCATTACACAAAACGTGCAGTCCTCTGGTACAAATAATAAATAGCCAGTCATCGCGGGTTGCCTGCCTACAATGTACAGGTACTATTCAAACATCAATCCTGGGAGGTTAGATGCTATTCTTATACCCCTTTGCCCAGGTAGTCAGCCGATATTTGAACCCAGGAAATCCAACTATGTACTTAACTCCCAGGCATGGGCAGTTAGTGCGAGAACTCTCGCCTTTCATGCGGGTGACATGGGTTTGATACCCAGCCAATGACCCGCATGTGCTTTCTCGGTGGTGGCTTGTGTGTGGCTATGATCCTGAACAGGTCTCGGTGGAGCTTCCAGACTAAGATACAGATCAGAAGTGGACTAAGAATCAAGGCCTGGTGGTTCACTTTAGAAACATCAGGCACCCATTTTTAAAAAGCACCTTTCAGAACATGCTCTAAACAGAATAAATGACGAACTCGAACGCGTCTCATTTCAAGGATCAAAGTGTGTTCAGGATACCTGTGATATTTCACTGCTGGTAACATACGTTCTGTTGGTAATCTATAAACGGCAATATGAAGCACTCATCATTAAACTGAGATGACTGGATTGACTACAACTCCCGTTCTCAAGTAACAGGTAGCTTAATAAAACACCTCCAACAAGGTCTCTTGATAGCTAGGGCACGGCTGAAGAACCTTGTATGACGATAGGGTCATGTGGGGAATGTGTTAAAAAATGTCGGTTCTATCCCAGATCTACTGAATCAGTCTCTTATGTGAGCCTGAGGGTGCAGAGTGGGGACCGTCTACGCTTTCAGGACGATGACTCATCTACAGAGCACTCACTGCCATAGAGTCGATGCCAGCGCAGAGTAGCCCCATGACAGGGTAGAACTGTCCCTTTGAGTTTCCGAGGCGGGGAACTGTGGACAGAAGCAGAAAGCCCCATCTTTCTCTCTTGGCTGTCCTGGTGGTGCCCAACTGCAGGCCTTGCAGATCCCAGCCTATGTGTAACCCCTAGGCCACGGGGGTCCACAGCAGTGGTTCTCAAACCTCGCCAGACCCGAGATTCACCCAGGGGTTTGAAGCCGGATGATGCCTTTGCCTCGCTCCTTACCGATGACATCAGAATTCCCAGGATAACATCCTTGTACAGTTATTTTTTTAAAATCCCACAGGGAGTTTCAAATTTGAGAACCGCTGCTATCAAGGAAGGGCAGCAGCTCTTTTCGTACAGGTCATGTGGGGCTGCGGGAGGGTAGGGGCGGCGCCAGTGGTTTCTGAATACGTACTCTTCATGTCCTTGCTGTTGGGAGGGCCTCGTGAGGCTGTCTAGTCCTGCAGCATCCCCTGACCGGCTGTACGTAGGACCACTGGGAGCCAGAGGACTGTGTTGGACTGAGATTCAGAAGTGGATTCGATAAGTCCATCTTAGTCTGGAAGGGCCAGTGAAGCTGTTCGGCTTCCGCAGCAGGAAAGCCTTCACTGAATGAGGTGCTGGGGACTGAACCACAGTGGCCCTCACTCATGTCCCCAGCTCTCGGGAAACACAGCTGTGCCGTGCTGCTGACGTGAGACCCCTCCAGGCCAGGTGTGCTGGGCAGATGGAAGTGTGAATCGGCTAAGTGGCCGGCCGGAACCCAGAGCAGTTCTGTATCCCAATCTGGCCTCTAAAGAACCCCTGGGGCGCCATGTCCCTTCTTACCCTCCACCAGGCCTTACACTTCTCCACATGATTGACTGCTCTACACCTGGGTCTTTTTTCTCTTCCCAGCTCCCTCTCTCAAATCTTGTTCCTTTTCTATATTTTCTCCGGATCTTTTCTGCACTTTAAAAAAAAGGCATGCCTTCCCCTTCTACCAACTAAATATTCCCCCCCTCTATAGGGTAGAATGACCCATAGAAAAGTAACAGGTTTTTTTTTTATGATCTTCAAAAACATCTGCAGATGCCTGAGGTCTGGAGGGCTTCCTGCCAGACAGACGCATTTTAACTGTGTGTGGCGATCACGGTTAATGTTTGCTCAGCGCACTCGTGTTGATACCGCTGTTAGCTGCGCCCTTCCTACCCGCCTGAGGTTGAAGCTGGGTAGCAGGTTTCTCCCCTCCTTTCAGGACAAGCGGATGCTCAGGAGGTGAACGCTCTCAGGGGACCCTCGCAGTGGGACATCTCATGGAGGCCAAGGCCTGAAATGGCTACTTACACAGCCTGCTCTTTCTCATGGAGTCTGTGAGCTGATTGTCACAGGCAGTACAAAGCAATTGTAAAAAATGCACTTTCCCAGTTTGTCCACGAGGCTCGGAACCCATTCTTGCTGGTCACTCGGAAAAAGGCCAGGCTCCTTAGGCCCCCGTCTGTGGGCCTGGCCCGTGGCGCAGTAGCAGTCACCACCCCCCATGGTGGCCGAGTTGGTTCCAACTTGCTGTGCCCACACGATTTCCAAGGCTGCGATGCTCAGGGATGCGCACGGCACGTTTTCCAGTCGCGACCCTTCCAGGCAGCAGCTGGGCACGGAACCATGGCCCCACCAGAGTCCCACAGAGCAGTAACCCCGGCTACTGTGGGTTAAGGCTATTGTCCCGGTTCATCAGGGGACAGTGGCCTTACAGGAATTTGAGGGCCTCAACCTCTGAGGATGTTATGAAAGCCATGGGCCTTCTCACTCCCCCC